CACAAAGTTTTCCTTTTAGACAAACCTGTCCACCAGTGTGATAGGGGTAAGTTTACGGGCTTACAACATTAAAATTCTGGGTCGATTTCCCGCGGTGTAAACATAAGAAAGCCTAATGTGGATTTCCTCTAAACGAAACGAACAAATAGACTGACATCTTACTGAACTAATCAGTACTACTCTCACGACATATATTTCAGATATTTAATTTTAAAAATGGAGATTGACGAAGGCACTTTTAACGCAAGACAGCATTACTGGAGTCACTTTTAACAATTTTGCTGAACCACGGGGGTGTATTTAGATTTTTGAAAATTTCCTGCTTTTATATTTCTCTTGCAAGGTGATTTTCGACTCGCTAAGTCCAGTCACCCCTGTTGCATAATAATGTATCATATTATAGATAAAACTTAGTTTGTTGTAATTGCTCAGTGTCGTTTTTATAGCCCAAACTGAACGGAATATTAGTTGTTGTAACATTTTTTGTGATAAGAAAAGTTATAGAAGTAATAGTTGTACATGTTTTTTGTAGTTAAGCACAAAATTCCACAAATCCCAAGATCTAAAACATAGAAAGAAGAGCTCACATCTAAAATACAGTTGTATACTCCTTTTCACAAAACTCTTTATTTTAAAGTTATTATTAGGTTGCTTCCTCCCGATAGTTCAGCGGTAAGCTTTAGGGCTTATAACTATACAATTCGGGATTCGATCCCTGTGGTGAGAACTTCACGGATAACCCATTGTTCAGATTTACGCTGAACAACAAACAAAAGAAACGAACTTATTAGGTTTTGGTTTCATCAAAAAGCAATGTTATTAATGAAGTGTGAAGAATTATTTGAATTAACACTGATTTAATATCGTGATCAGCTTTGGAATGAAAATGCTTTGTTTTTATAGCAATTAAAACTGCGACGTTTCAGGCCATACGAGTTGGCCATCATTAGGCAATGTATGATTAAAAATAAGTACAAGTACAAATTGTAAAACATATATAAAAGTACAAAATACATAAAAATATAAAATGTGCATTGTGAAATATATGGATTATATTTAGTACAGAAAGAGAGAAGTTCCGGGATATTTGTTCAAAGGTGTTAGTGTAATTGATCAGTATAGTTTTTACTTTTTTTTCTCTTTTTACATCAATTTTGTTTCGTATGATTTTAATGTTGTTGTTTACAGAGATGATGTGTTTGGTTTCGCTCAAAAACATAGAACGGTTCTTCCAAGTGTTCCTTGATCATTGTGTTCAGTTCTCTTTTAGTTTCGCCTAAGTAAAATTGTTCACATTTGATTTTGGATATTATTTATTTCTTTGGTGTCCTCATGATTTCCAACGAAGTTCTTAATTTTTATTCCTGGCTTTTCTATGATTAGCAGGTTGATATTAATATCGTGACTTCTGATGAGTAGTTTCTATATTTTTGACAACTTTATCGCTAAAATCTTCAGTAAAACTTATATTCTTCGTATAAAGCTTTGTTCACGGTTTCTTTGTTTTTATTTTATTGATTGCTTTTAACTCTACCTTCAGGATAACAATTTTTATGAATGAAAGTCTCAGATTTTCTCTTTAGTTAACTGTATTGTTGGGGAGAGAGATGGGGTTAGATATGTCAAGTGCGATTTTAATTACACATTTTAAAGTTCCAAGTATTTGTTATGGATGGTGTGCAGAATTCCAATCTACATACTGTTCTTAGTGCATTGTTCTTCTATAAAACAGGTATCAAATCCAGTTGATGTGAGCATTCAAAACAGTTACGGAGAAATTTTATTCTTCAGTGGGACATGGATGTTTGGATGAATGTTGTTGGTGTTGTTAAAAAACATTGTTTCTCAATTCAAGAATTAAAACCACAGAGAAAAACATCAGAGGTATGAATGGCGGTATTGAATGCCTCCCTCTCTACTTGCAATATAAAAACATTGGCTAATGAGCTAGATAAAACTCCGCCTACGATATACAAAGACCATCAATTTGGCAATAAGATGTGTCGTTGAACTGAAAGCAAAGCTTTGTTGTTAGGTCAAATAACGCCACTAAATTTGAAGAGGTTGTAGTAATTATTCAATTAGGGACTTGATGACATTTTCAATAACTTACTTGAACGCTGCCACCTGAGTGATTTGGGCATACGAAATTTATATATTGGAGCTTGTCATTTAAGTCTTATGATTTAATTTCTTCAGGATCGTATGGTGAAATGATATTTTCAATAATTTGATTAAATGCTGCTTCTCGATGAATTTGGATGTATAGATTTTCTATATCGAAGCTTGTCATTTAAATCTTATGACAGGGATTTTATATTGAAATGATGAAAGCAAGAAAAATGTCACGGTTGTACTTGAAAGCGGAATAAGTGGTCATTACGATACGTAGTTTTAGTGGTGGTTTATGTACAGTTGGTCAACCATATAAGTACGGTATTCTACCTTTGCTACACTATAATCAATTACTGACTAGTTTATGGAATACAGTAAAGCTAATATCACTTTGTATGTGTTTTATTTGAAATGAAGTATGGCCCGTTGGTTAGGGCGCTCGACTCGCAATCTGAGGGTCGCTGGTTCGAATCTCCGTTACACCCCGTTACATGCTCGCCCTTTCAGCCGTGAGGGCATTATAATGTGACGGTCAATCCCATTATTCGTTGGTAAAAGAGTAGCCCAAGAGTTGGAAGTGGGTGGTGATGACTAGCTGCCTTCCTTCTAGTTTTACACTGCTAAATTAGGGACGGCTTTGTGTAGCTTTGCGCGAAATTCAAAACAAACAAACAAACAATCATTATTTGTATTTGCACAAACGATTCAGAGTTCAAACTGGTACTGTGGAATAGAAACAAGCTAATACTCTGGATTAAGCTTTGCATTATTTTGAATGAAGAGCTTCAAAATCAGTTTAATATTTGAAACTTTTATAGGTAGAAAGTAATATGTGTGTGCATTATAAGTTATTGTAAGACAGAGTTAAACTTCTGTAATTAAAGATGATAAAAATACTTTAAGTGAAAGATTTTGTTTACTCCAGTTAACACTGCTGTAACTGCTAAAATTTTCATATTTCTCACTTGATCTGAATGTTCACTTGAGCACAAAAAGTACAAAATGAAATATTTATTGCTTCGTCACTAAAAATATTTACAGAACAATGTTTGTTTGTTTTTGAATTTCGCGCAAAGCAGCACGAGGGCTATATCTGCGCTAGCCGTCCCTAATTCCCTAGAGCTAGTCATCACCACCCACCGCCAACTCTTGGGCTACTCTTGTACCAACGAATAGTGGGATTGACCGTCACATTATAACGCCCCCACGGCTGAAAGGGCGAACATGTTTGGTGTGACGGGGATTCGAACCTGCGACCCTCAGATTGCGAGTCGAGTGCCTTAACCACCTGGCTATGCCGGGCCTACGAAACAATGTTCTATCGAAACCATTTCAGAAGTGAATTTTGATTACCATAAAATTTCCAACAAAAGAACGGTTGCTGAGATCATTTTGAATGGTTTAGCAGTGTTATACATATATATGTATGTGCATATATGTAAAAACACTGAAAACTATGTAATATTTCTGATGAGAATAAGCAATAATTTAAAATTTTATTCCAATAAAATCAACTCAAAGATACAACAACATCCATAAACTTGTTAAGAGAATAACGGAACATATTAATTATTAACGCGTAATTATAAATTTGCTATCATGGAAAATCGTATCTAAATCTTGAACAGTAGATACGTTATCTAACAATTCAGTTTCACTTCTTTTATATATCTGTGTATCTAGAGAAGAAGAAAAGAAGGGATCGGCATGACTGATACGATTAAACGACACACAATAAAATGTCTTGAAAATTACTAATTAAACGGGAACTCTTAAACGTGGGGTTGGGCATAATGTTAGTGTACTACACAATGGAGCGATTAATCATTTATCTTTTGTTTTATTTATTAGAAAAATACATCACTATCCTAAGAGTTTCTTAATACTTTATATGACAACCTACGAAAGTAACGCCGTGGAACCTACGAAAAGATTAAAGCTAAATTATACAATTTTTAATATTTTGTCAATATTTAAACTTATTACTATAATATTACCTCACTGTAAGGAAGTTCAAAATATTAGTGACAACAGGGATAGCATAAATAATTATGAATTAATCCAAAACTCAGCAAATCATCAAACTACATTTTGAAGGCGCCAAATCAGAATGCCATATTTTTTTTTCAGTGCTCCCTAAATTAATATCCAGCGCATGTCATTGATTTATTGCAGGTTCTGATACACTAATGTGAATGGTTAATTCAATATCACGACCTACATAATTGTATAGGAGTTGTTGAATCATCATAAACAAAACCTGAAATTCATCTTAATATTAAGCTTAAATAATGGAATACTGAATTTTAGTTGATATTTTAACATTTTTTCTAAAACGTGATGTAACACTAAAATACGATGGATTTATTATAAATGTTCATTGTGTATGTGAGTGATAATAGCAATACAACTGGGTGTGAATAAACGATTAGTTCCAGATAATATAACTGTTTCCTTTCACAGTCGTCTAATATGAATACACCTAGAAAATGTATGTTGTGGATCAGTAAATAAACCGACTGAGAGCAGAAATAATATCATTTATGACTGCTAAACTGTCAACTAGAACAATTTCTAATGTAATTTCAAGTAAAACACTGTCGTGTTTTCAACAGACTAAAATATTATCTTTAAATACTACTTATTGGATAAACAGCGAACTATCAGTTATAAATGTGGCTTCTACAATTGGTTACGACGTGGAATTACTTCTCGAAGTTTAATTTCGAAATCGTTAAGTATTTTTCATTCTACTTATAATTGGGTTTGTGAAAACACTTTTAAATCTGTAACGTACAGTGGTTTTTATCACGTATTTTCTATTAAAAAGTGTGTTGTAAACTTGTATTATATTTATTAGAGAGAATTAAAGCAAGATAATAATATTGAAGTTATATTCTTTATTCACAGCCTGGATAATTGGTAAAGTTTATTGCTGTAAAACGTCGTCAAAAGCTCAAGGTATTCAGAAATCAGATACAATGACCAAGGGGGAATTTTACAGGTTTAAAGGGGACAAAAGTTTCTTCTGATGTTATAAATGACCACGATTTCGGGGTCCTGTTGAAGTTCCTAAAATCTTTTTTCTGGAACTTGCTGAAGGTAAGCTCCTGGTGTGTTTCTGGAGGTAGAGGTAATACAGGGTCCTGGGCACAATGTACGTTGGAACTCGCTGTAAGAAGAGATTAGAAACATTTAGCTTAGACTGTTATCCCTTTCTCTTAAAGTCAGAAAGAAATCGTACTACGAATGATGTCACCATGGTGTTAATGGATAGCACGTGTTAACATCGAGTCCCTAGAATTCAGTAAAAATGGCTGCCTTGAAACAAGATGAACAATGCTGTATCATGACTCGACTTTAATCTATTGAAAAGCTATGAAAAACAACAACAATAAACACAGAATAGAAAAAGGAAACATGCCCAGCTTTCTTTATGCATTTCTTTCAAGAATATAAAAAAAACTACCAAAGTTATTATGTAGAAAATGCAACGGAAAATTATTAAAGTCATATTCAAAATGCTCAAATTACCGCTAATGCTATATAAAATCATTTATCATTTCAAACTAGTAGAAATTATGCATATCTTAACCTAAATTTAAAATTCATAAGTTTACATGTAATTTATATATATATATTAATTAGCTATTGAATATTGTACAGTGTATTATTTTTTAATCGTTTTCTCGTTACCTGCGGAGTAACCGGTCCATCCCCGAGGTGCCCTGGGCCGATAGAGATCATAGTTTTTAGTCTGTGGTAATCGAACTGTCGGAGTAGGAAACGGCTCAGAAGTAGCTGGTTTCGTCTCTTTTTCGATTTTTACAGGTGGCGTTGTAGTTTTGGTTTCAGCTGCTCGAATAATAGTTTCAGCTATAGAGTTTAATTCGTTATGAGGCATAACTTCCACAAAGGCTGCATCACAACTACCAAACGGCGACTCAAGAGCCGCCTCCCACGGACTTTTTACGAGTTTAAAGCGCGTTCTCTTTGTCATTTCCTGGAGTCTAGATGGTTGTGTTGGGGTTTCTAAAGACGGACGTGGGCGATTTGTTTTTCTATGGTCAACAGGGAGCGCTGTCTCATATTCTTTCTTAGAAAGTAAGGCCTTAATTTTTCCTTCATCTACAACCCATTCTTCTGACTTTTTCTTACGTTTTGCAAACATCGCCGCCCCTTTGCCGACGGTACCGTAGAGATCTTTTACAATGCCCAAACACACGTCTGGACTCACGACATTATGTTCACTGATATTCTTCCCTTCTTTCCTCAAACGAACTGCATCTTGAATGTGACGAGGATCGAGAATTAGTTTTAGTTTAGGAGGATCTTTACCCACTTTAATGTAGGGGGCGTTCATGAAGTCATAAGTTGGTAGTTCGGTAGTTCCATTTTCTCTCTTCCTACCAGCCTCTCCGTCGCTTACGGGATCTGGACCTAAGATTTGTAAGAGGTTTAGGTTAGCAGAGATGAAAAAACAAAAAAAAACAAACAATCTTTAAATCAGACGTGATGTAATACAGCACTAGGTAAGTGAGTTCTGAAAGTGTAAGTAAAGGATCACGTTATTTACAAAGATTCATATGTGCATGAAATGGGACCAAAACATTTGTGTGTGTGTGTGTGTAAAATACAAAATGATTTGAAAACTTATAAATAAGTTAGTTAACATAGACAAACAACTGAAATAATATCCATATATTGCATCCTTTCTTCTTCGGTCGTTTTTCTTG